GCGATCCTGAGTTCCTTGCTTGTGCTCTCTCTCCTTCTGCTCCTGATTTGGACCTTGAGATTTCAGTCCGGTGCTCCAATGTGGGTCTCTGTCTTTGTCTCCTTTCATCGCCTGATGAAGGTTAATATTCAGGAGAATGCCTATATGTTTTTCTTTGGGTTCTCCTTCTTATTTAGCTTCTCTAAGAACCCGAATTATAGGCTCAATGTCCTTTATTTATGGCTAGAAACCAAATATGAGTGAGTACATCCCATGTTCCTCTCTCAGAATCTGAGGACACAATTGCTTTATTTTAAACTGGGCAGAACTATTCATAATTTCTTGAAAAGTGACAGAATCAAGAAAAGGGACAGGGACTTAGAGATGAAAGACTATCATACCAAATCAATGCAAAAGACAAAAGAGAGAATTTAGAGAACACTTACTGATAGGTAGTTGGGCTGACGTTGATACGCCGAGGATGACTTCCCGATTCAAATTTGCTTGCCAATGTGACATTATTTCCAAAAAGACAATATCGTGGCATTCTCACCCCAACTACACCAGCTAGCACAGAGCCTGAATGAATGCCTATCCGCATCTGGAAATAGAAAAAGAGTTGGAGACTAAATAGTTGTTTCTATTTTCCATGCAATAGTCTTTTTATTAAATTGTATGTTAAGAAAATGGTTGTTTTGTGTGTTATGATATATATGCATATCCATATGCATATCTAGGCCTCTAGGAAGCCAGAAGAGAATGTGAGAGCCTCTGGAACTGCAGTTAAAGGCAGTTGTTAGCCACAATATGCATTCTGGGAATAGAAACTGTCCTCTGCAGGAATGGTGACCTTAAGTGTTGAGTCATCTCTCCAGTCCTGGCATGAAACTGTTTCAATGAAACATGTTACCAAATATTAAATAATTAAACCAGAGTAATCCCAAAGACTGAAACTAGTCTAGGTCATCATTGTGAGACTAATATCTAGTTTGTTACAATGTTCAATGAACATGGATATTGTAGAATAAATAAATAAAAGAATAATCATAAGAACAAGATATAAAGTCTTTTTAAAAATATTTAATTTATTTTTAACTTTGTGTGTGTTTATAGATGAGTACCCTCACATATATTTAAGGACCCAGAAAGATCAGACAGTATGTTGAATCTTTGGAGCTGGAGTTAGAGGTAATTTGAGCTGCCTAATTATAAGTGCAGGGAATTCTTGTCATTTGAAAGAACAGCATTCTCTCTTAACTGTTGAACTATGTCTCTAGTTCAGAATTCATAGCTAACTTGCTACATAAATATGTTTCAGGTTTAATCTGTTTCATTTGTATATACTATCTATAAGTGAAATATTTATTATTCTCTATCAAATTATTTCTACATGAAGACTTATTCTACCTCATGACATTAATTTCACTTTTAAATTAAATGTACATATATATGTATATATATATATATATACTTGTTTCAAGTACTGAATTTTACACGATAACAGTATGTATACCTATTTTCTTACTGTTAAATACTCAGGAATACATACAGAATAATACCTCTGGAGACTCTCAATAAGTAAGTCATGAATGTGGAAGAAATTGCCAAAGTCTTTGATATAGTAATATGGTATTACAAACAATTCAACCAACCCTTGACTAAGTCAAAGATTTATTGATTGAATGATGAATAAATTAGCCACTGTACCTGATAAAGATTAATGTGTTCAAGACCTGAAGTAACCTTCAATATACAATTGCTACACAGTGAAACATGAAGGGACCAACACAGTTCTATCAATAGAGTATATAACCAAACAACTAAAGCTAGGAGACAAAGTAGGAGGTGAGAGAGAGGGAGGGAGGGAGAGAGAGAGGGAGAGAGAGAGAGAATGTCATTATGGAACGGATGGTTTCTGAATATATCAACTCATGATAAGAGAGACACACTGTCCCAGTTGTAGCTCCACATAATACTACAGTGTTAAAGTATTTGGCCCACCAGATATGAAGTTTCTTATAAGTATATCTACTTGTTGGATGGTGTCATTGAGACTAGAAATAGGAAATAGTGGAACAAACTACTCAAGAAGAGTCCCATAAATGTATATGTGCCAGAAAGATAGATACAGTAAACTACTATTTCAAATTATTGAAAAAAAAGGACTGTCTTTTTGGTAGAGTGATTTGCATTAATTTTGTCTCAAGGTAGAAAAGAGTAACTCCTAAAAATAGAACTCCAATTTCTACCCACATCATGGAAGTCTGCTCAAATCAATCAATAAAAATACAATAAAAATTACCTTTTATTTGTGTATCTACATCACTTCCTAAGTGAGTGGTCTATCTTGTGAAAGTAGCTCCTCTCATTTAACTAAGGACCCGATTACTATTTTGTGTTTCTTCTTCATGCTTTTGCACAATTAGGAGCATTTTTGTTCAACTCTCAAGATTTAGGAAGATATAGCAAAAGTCAAAGAAACTTTGCAGTTTTATAAAGACTTCCTATGCAGTTACCATTTACAGGAATTTCTCTTTCTGTAGGTCCAGAGTGCTACCTAGTACCATTTTCCTTTTACTCATTTTTATATATTCTGCCATTTTTATGTCTCAGGACCCTAATAATGAATTTGTTTAGACTGTATATGTTAAAAAGTATCAGTAGTTTGCCTTTACAAGAAAAGGCTATTTTCGTTGATTGTGGAGGTCTAGTTTGGATGCTGGGATGCAGCTCAGTGGTAGAGGGACAACATAAGCAGCACAAGCAGAGTTCCATCTCTAACCCTGGACAAAAGGAGGAGGGAGGAAGGAGGGAGAGAGGGAGGGAAAAAAGGTTTAAGTTAAAATTTTCTCCCTTCATCAGTACTTTAAAGTGCTCTGTCTAATTTCTCTCTTGCATTGTTTCTTTAAGATTTTTTAAACCACTTTTAACATTTTTTGGAGGGGTGGTTCTGTGGGTATGTAGAGATCAGAGGACAGCTTGCTGGAGTCAGTCCTTGCTTGTTCCATTGTGAGTCCCAGAAGATGGACGGCACATCACCAGGCTTGGCAGCAAACACTTTTACCTGCTGAGCTGTCTTGCTTGTTTCTGAAAGCAAATCAACTGCTGTACTTAACTTATGTTCTGAACATAACACATTTTTTCTAGATACTTTCAGTTACTGTTCTTTTGAGAAGTTTAAATAATTTAGTTATTATTTCCTTTGGCATGATGATTGTTGTTTTTTATGCTTTGGGTTTATTGTGCCCTTTAATCTACCAGTATATAGTTTCATCATATTTAAAAATTTTTCAGAACTGATGTTTTCTGCCCGCATTTCCTTCTTTGAGACTCTTCTTGCATGTATGTTTAGATCCTTGCAGTTTTACAAAGATCCCAATGATCTGTTCATTTAAGAGGACATTCTCTTTATTTTGGATTTCTACTGTAATCTCCAAATTGGCTTATATTTCCCTTTGCAAATCATTCTAGATCCAATGTGCTTTCAATGTCGGATACTGTACTTTTCACTCTCTAAAAGTTAAGTTTGGGATTTCTTTTCTCCCAGATGCCAACTTAAATTTAAGCATATTCACCGTACTTTAAACTATTTTGAATGCTCTATTCTGCCAGCATTTTCTTCTATTCTACATCCATCAATTTGATGAATTAATTGCTCTCATTATGAGTCAGCATTCAGTTTTCTCCATGCCTAGACACATTATATTAGGTGCCAGATTGAAATGACCTTGTAGAGTGTTAGATTTTTCACAAATATTCTTGAGCTTTGTTCTTGAATGCAGTTAGACACTGTTCCTTTGTAGTCTTGTTTTAAGATATGTAGGAAACTGTTTGATGAAGGTGTAGTTATTCTCTCAAAAGTAAGGAAACAACATTATAAGTGGTATTTCCTGTATATGGAATTTATGGTCTTTTTAAGGCTGCTGAACATGGGTAGTGGATGAAGTCCTGAGTAAATGTGGTTTGTTGACATGAACATAGCCATGTCAACGATCCATTAGAATGGCAATGCCTTCTCCAGGTCAGGCTCAGCAAAATGTCAGTTTCTCCCAATCCCTATGAGAATGTTGACAGTGTACAAAAGTGTCTACCTTGTGTCGTGTGTGTGTGTGTGTGTGTAAAATAACAATACTTTTAGAAGGGTTCATAAATTTGACAGGAGATAGGAAGACATGACAGGAACTAGAAGGGAAAAGAAGGAGTAGAAATAATGTAAAATTAGTATTCATGTATGAAATTCTTGCAAAATTGAAATAACATCAGATCCCTTTTTCCCATTTTTCAGGTTGTTCTCTTTTCTTTCCTTTCATTGAGAGGGTTGCTTCTGCACATGTACTAGTTAGAGCTTTGCATAATATTTGTTGAAGACACCGGGAGGATCTTTAGTGATCTCTGAGCAATCCTTGACTCCAACATGTCACCTCTAGCCTGCCTGGTCTCCCCAGATGCTCAGTTACATGTTTTTAAAACTAGAAATATGTTCCCCATTCATTCCCCTGTGATCTCCTATTAGGAAAGTAGACAAGCACAATATCCATCTAATTTGTTCTCTAGTCCTTGAGTTTCACCACTTTTCAGAGATTAGTGTCCAGTATTACAAAAAGAGCTCCCTATTTCATTTTCAGGGATGGGAGCAGTAATTCTGCTTCAGTGTTCCACATTGACTGGATCCAGAAGTTAGCCTATTTTTAAGAAAACAAACTCTCTGAAAACTATGTACCTACTTCTGATGAAAGGTTTCAATATATCTTTTACAAACAAGATAAATGTAGAGTATCTTTTCTAAACTTAGCAACTGCCACAATTTCAGTGAAGACCATGAAGTTCTTCCTTGACTTCCTATTAAAAGACAGGCTGCTCTTTAAAAGTTTTTTCAGAAGAAGAATTATTTTAATCCAAGAATGATGATGGTTAAACATGGGGCATTCTTAGAGCTGGGGAAGAATAAAGAATTGTCATTAAAAATAATTTCTTAGAAGGTTAAATTAGCATTAAATTAGCATGAAAATATACCACTGCCTCCCCACCCCCACCCCCGTGACACATATACCACTGACTGTCTTTCCCCATAACAGAAAAGGATTCATTGAATTATCTAGACCAGGAAATAATGGGAAGATTTAAGATGACAGAATTGGGAACATAGAAGCAGAGTTACCACACTCTACTTTCCTTTGCTTGTCTTTTGAAGATTCACAGATGTTTCCCAGGAATTGTGTCCTATATTTATGGAAGGAACCAAATACCCCATTCAAGTTATGCCAAGGACATCAGCAAGGGAAGCAAAGTGAAGAGATGCATTTGGCATTAAGGCAGAGTTAGATCCATTCTCATGGATTTTAGCTGTATATGAATGGGTTAAGCAATAATATTGACATGCAATCAGCCAACATATCCTACGAAAGGAAGGTTCCTTTGTATTAGGCCAATAACTCTCAACTGGAGCCATTACTGTTCGTCACTGGACATTTGGCACTATCTGGAGACATTTCAGTTTTATGTCTGGGATGGGGAGTTGCTACTAGCATTATCAGATCATGTTAGACACTCAAAGGAACGCCTCCTACTCCTTTGCAGACTCATCTAGAACACCAAAATTTA